AAGAAATCCTCAAAAGAGAGGTTACAAGTTTTAAAAACAAAAGATAGCAGCACAGGAAGTGCTTTTGGGTCAGGGTGGTAACAAGGTGAGTTTGCAAAGATATAAAGGGATGATGAGATATAATGAATTATGTTCATATAAACAAGATTTGATTGTCTTTTTCAGTAAAGTTTCTTTGGTAGCAAGCAAGAGGTAAGAGAATGTCCAAGACTGAAGATACAAGCCAATACCAAGTTAAAACTCTCCTGGAAAGATGGATTTCCAGTAATTTCCCAGAAACTTCAGTATAAGATATATTAGAATAAAATAAAGAATTTTATATTTTTATGAAAGCTTGGTCTGTTTGCTATAGACAAATTCATATTTTTATTTTTAAAAAAGGATCTAAAAAAAAAAGAAATAGCATGCCTATTTCTTTGGCCAGACTTAAAGCAAACTACCTGAGTATGGGAATATGGCCTTTCAAAGTCTGCAATATAATGGCATTTTGAAAATATCTTTAATTAGAACAGAAAACAGCAATTTCCTTTGTTCACTTACTGGAAAAGAAGCCAGTCACACAAATTAAACTGAATAATTGTGTCATATAATTCTAGATAGATATTGAAGTTTCAACCTTCATCATCAATCTCCTAGACAATATGGCTTTAGAGAGGCAGTTTTTAGCAAACAGAAATGTCCCTCTGGGTTTAGTCTGTTTGTTTTTTCTTCGCTAAATCTCATTTAGAGCTAGGGTTACTGTTCAAAGACATTACTGCCTCCCAAGATACAAGATCTGTAGGTATGAAGTGGTGGCTGAAAAGAGGAAGCCATCAAGAGCAGGCTTCACGGCAGACACTGACCCTGAGTGGGGAAGCAAAAGGCCTCAGTCTCAATCCTTGCAAGTCATCTCTATGGCATACCGCCAGTCAGTAATCAATGCAAAACATATTACTGATTGCAACAAGAGCACAAGGCTAGAGTAAAGTGACACTTCCATTAGTCTCTAATATGAGATAAGCTGCATTGCTTCCTTTCCAATCATGACTATTTTGCCAACCTTAATATTCTAAGCACAAAATATTTACATGTTTTGCTTTAAGGAGGAGGATAAGATTTCATGGGGCAATTTGATTTGGGCATCATTTCCCTAATGCACTGAAACATAAGCTTCCCCCTCCTCAAATCCATTAGTGCTCAGGCCATCCAAGCACTCGCCTTGAACACTGGTGGCTCCCCCACCTCAAATACTGACATTAAACTTCAACGAGTGCTCCAGAACCGCTAAACTAATTGAATTCTTCCTATAAGCATCTCAGCTCAACAACAGTTAACTCTAGTTAACTAACTAGAGATGAGAAGACAATGTACAAGAATGGTAAGAACTCAAGGAAAGATTGTCTACATTATTCACAGCTGCAGACTCCTACCAAGAGAAGAAACCTGCCTTCTCTCCTGCTCTACCATAAAGCTGCCATTGAAAAACTTAGAAAATCTCTATCCTAATGTTCAAATAGATATTCTGGTTCCAAACAGAAAATAATTCTTTCATTGGAATTCTTGGATAATTCCATTTTAATAAAGCCTGCAAAAAAGAATGTTGTTTTGCTTGGGTTCCTGCTTGGAAGAAAAACACTCTCAATTGAGACAGCTACCAAAAATCTGGTATAAAGCTATTATCAGTACAAGAACTCTAATTTTTTAACAGAAAAAATAACAGGAGTAGATATTTTTGTCAACAAGAGATGTGTATTTAACAACAGGTTCCATGTAGTTTCTATCATCATGTAGTAACACTTTTTCCCAAAACTAGCCAAAATAATCAGCTTGTAACATTAATACAGGTTTTTTTAAAAAAGCACCCAAATACAGGGTGAATCAGATTAAAGAATCTCAAACACTGAAGTCACAATACAGGCATTCTTATGCTGAAGGGTAACTGCCCTACCTCATGTCAATTTCATTAAAAGTGGTCAGCATGGCACATGTATTCTGAGCCTCTTTCAGGCGCTGAGCAATACGTTGACGCATTCTGTTCATCTTTACCTGAAGACAGAAATAAATCATAAAATAGTGAAGAACATGAACAAATTAAAAGCACACCCTTTTTTCTCTCTTTTCCTGATGAACACATCAGAATAATTTATCTACACTTAATGGGTTATCTTTGTGCAGTGAATCCAAAATTTAACTCATTTTTAGCCTAAAATAATTACCTAGAGCTCTCTCTCTCACACACACACAAGCAACAACAAATGATATCACAAGGCATCAGAAGTCCAATTACTATCAAAAGAAGTTGTACGACATAGGGAGTTTAACTGTGGAACCTCAAGAAAGTTAGCGGGATAGATTTTAAGAAGCTAAATTTCAAACATTCACAGAAGTGGCACTTGAGAAAGTGGTTTGTTATTTCCGCTACAGGTAATCGCGACTTATGACTTATTGAGTCTGGCAATTATGGTCGTAAATCAGGATGAAGCGGGTCAGCACATGTCCTTTTTTGAGGTAGTCATTAAGTGAACATTGTGATCATAAAGCATATGCCACAGTCATTGGAAGTAAACACCAATTTCCAGAAAAAAACTTAATAAATTGCATTCACATGATGGGGAGGGAGGAGGAAACTGCAAACAACTGTATATGTGGGCCAGTTGCCAAGTGCCCAAAATGCGGCCACATAGCTGCTACCCCAGACATCACAACATTCAAAACCAGGTCATAAGTAGTTTTTGGGAGTTCAGTCATAAGTGGCCTGTTGTAAAACAACAATTACCTGTACTGGCCACATGTTTGAGAGACCACTGAGTAAGAACATTCATGAATGAAGAACTTTATTAGGTTCAGCCATTGCCCTTAACTCTTTTAGTGTTACTTTGTTGCAGCCTTTCATGAGGCTCTTATGAAAATATTTTCTGTTCTGCCTCAAAGTTATCATATTTCAATTCCTTACAGACATGAATATTCATATCATATCCCATCAGAAGTACCCTTTGTTCCAATCTGGCACCTTTGCCAGTCCCAGGTTCCACAGCAGGAGAAGCTGTTGGCACGGCAGTTGGCTTTATTGCAGACACTGCAAGTCAATGGAAAAAATAAAATGTCAGGGGATTAAGCAAGAAGGGATCATGTCCTTGACTAAAATGAGTTGACACCAATGCTCTGAATGTAAATGAAAGGCTCAGTTTGGGGATAATGCCTCTAACTATGTATCATTTCACAATTTTAAGTTCTGAGGACCCTTTTTTATATAGATGGGAAAGCAAGAACAAGAATGTTGTGATCTCACCTGGTTTAGCATCAACAGGGAGGGCTGATACTGGGGGCACTGGAGGCATTGTAGTGGGAATTGGTGCTGCAGAGGGAGGTGTTACAGGAGCTGCAGGTGCTGCTGCTGCAGGGGCCACAGGCTCTGCTGTAGGGGCTGTTTCTGGCTTGGCTTTGGCAGGTGCAGCTTTGTAAAAAAAATGAAAAAGTATTACATATATGGATAATAGAAGCGTATTTTTCCCAAGCAAATGGTTCTAGCAAAGAAGGACTTGGGCCAGAATCCACATCAATAAACTTAGAAGGTGCTCTATCTTTCCATTAATGGCACACATAAACTATTGATATGGTACAGCAATGCAGAAGATGTATGCTTAAGCAGCAAAATGTGTGACAGATCTATTTCTATTAAATACAGTAGTTTTCAGAACTCTAAAGCCCTAAAATCATCTATTCCTGCAGGACCCAAATCTTGATTCATGGAATTACCATCTGAGGCCATGTCTCTAGTATTAATTATATGCCAGAATGAAGAAAGAGATCCATTTTAAATAGCTATTTTATTATGTTGCTTACTGTACTGAGTATATACTCTAGACATAACAAAGCCCATAATTAGATCTGTGCCTACAGACTATGTTCCAAATTGTTCATCAATGCAAGTAAGATAGTAATAATTTTATGTCCTTTTTCTTTGCTTTATTTCCACGTTCAGTTTATGGCAGAGAACATGCAACCTTCATTTTTGGTCATTTCAGAAAGTACTTAAGATCAGATTCACCAATATAAGCCTTTCACCTGAAACTCAAGACTTCTTGTCTATGGCAGTTTTCTTTAGGGGAAAAAACTTCCCTTGCCTGTGCATTGAGCATTCCCAGGTTTTACCACATTTTAGCCCTTTGAAGAAACTTTACAATCAATTCCCTACACTTGCCATTTACAATGCATTAATATGAAAAATTGATGCCAGAAGGATAAAAAATAACCTAATTTATGTGACTTAATCCAATTAGAATTTCATGTATATATTTTAATGTATACTGCAATTGCATGATGATGTAAGATGAACAGTAACTAGCCTAAATCACCCAGGTAAACAATTTTTGATCATATGATCCAAATTTACCTCCAGTTTTCCTGAGTTTAAATAAAGGTGTTCCTCCTTCTACTTTCCCTCCATCCGGGATAAGAAGAGCTTCAATTACACCAGCTGCTGGAGCTGGAACCTGCACAGATGTCTATATAGAAAAAATAAATAGCAATTGAACGTAAGAGGAATATAAACAAACAAAAAGGTCTGATCTTGAAGAGAGATGAATGCTACATTCATATACTTGATAATGTTTTGCAAGACTTGAAAAACTGGCTATCTACTCAGAATATAAAAATAATGAAAACAAACATGCAAACATCACAGTCTGATCAAAATACTAATAGTTCATGAAGTACTAATAAAAGTGATTTGCAATTTATCAACAAAATGATTTGAATTCTAGTTGTTTAGAAATAGCAGCACCAATACTCCAGATACTCAAAAAAAGTTAGATTGTTGAAATAAAGAAAGCTTGAAAAATAAAAGTGTGTGGAAGGACTATTTTGCAACATTGGAATGCTCCAATGGATAAAGCACTAAACTAGAACAGCAGAGTCCATTAAACAAATCTTGGTTCAACTCTAACTTTTAAAAATGGGAGAAGAGCTATATATACTATGGTGTTTTTAATTCTTTGATGGAAAGGACAGTACAGAAAGCATGACGCATCTGATGCTGCTTTCTACCCAAAAGCCCTACACGGCAAAAGCTCCTGTTATTTGAAGGACCACCTGTTTCTGCTTGTCTAGTATGATTTGACAAAAAGGGTGCACCCTATGGGTCCTGAATTAAACAGGGACTCAGAAAACATGACTTCTCTGTAGCAGTGCCATCTATCTGAAATGAGGTTTCTCCCTTGAGAGACACATTTCTCCCATCTTGATGATGTTTTGCAAGACTTGAAAAATTGGCTATCTACTCAGGACTTGGGAAAGGGTCGATGAGATTCTTCTGTATGTCATACTCTTTGTTGACTGGTTTGCCATCTTGTAATTATTTTGTAGCTACATTTCTACTTATTTCTGTTAATTCTTTGCATTCTGTTATTTTTCTGTTATTCTCATTGCCATGAGTTCTCTAGAAACAGCTGGAGTCAGCTGGCATCAAAATTTAATCAATTAATCTGAGTAAATAGTACAGATCTACAGTTAGGTGTTCACACGACTCTGATAAGGCGGGTAGATTTCATAAATTCAAAACATTTCTTCTCTGGGCAACAATGTTCACTTTGTCTTTGGTGATAATCATTATCATGAATAAGATGACAAAATATTTAGAGTTCCTTTTAGTGAAATGGTTGCTATATAAATTTGATTACTAAATTTTAAAAAATTACCTTGTCAGTTTCAATCTCACATACCACTTCATCTTCTCTTACAGTATCCCCAACAGCTAAAAAATGAAGAGAACAGGACTTAAACAAGGAGTTGTGTTGTGGCATTTCCTTCCCTAATTTTTATAAACAACTCCTTAAGCTAGACTTAAAACATCAACATGGGCTAAGAAGGCATGCTTCATTTTGTAAGCAACTGAACTGTAACAAATAACAGGTCTGAGCAATCTTCACCTACATAATAAGAGTATTCAGAACATTTTTTATTACTTGAATGTTTAACATATTTTCCTAACAGGCTATGACAAACTTATCATGGGATGAGGAGAAGATGAGAGAGACTAAAGAGAAAAAAGATCCTCTTACCTTTCTCCCACCTGACATCTCCCTCTGTGACAGATTCTGCAAATGCTGGTGTGTTCACTGTGACAACTTCCTCCCCTGTGAAAGATACATGTAATAAAATGCTTCACATGTTGGCATTTCAGCCCTTGGGAGCAATGGATAAATACAATTTAGAGAAAATGCTAAACATAAAGGGAAAGAGTATTGTAATTTAAATAATTCCATATTATCAGTTCTTATTAGATGTGTAGACCACCACTTCCTAGCATTCTACAACCAGCATGGCTATTACTAGGCATTAAGTTTTTCATATCTACAGGGAAGCTACCATATTCTGTTTGAGGCCTCAGTTCAATCCATTTGTTTTTGGATAATTATTTTTTCTCTCCCATAAAACTGCAATTGGTTGGCCAGCCAATAAAATTAGTCATCATTTATTCAAACTGAATAACAAAATACTAAAAGGACAAACCATACATTTCTCAGGTCAGTAGTCCTATATTGTTCTGGATAACATTCATGATTTCATTAAAAATATTGCTTGAAGAAGAAAATTGCAGAAATGATGCATTATTATGCCAAAGTCCAAGTACGCCAACTGTGGCATAAAAAATACATTAAGCCTTACTTAAGATTAGGAAAGATGTAAACTAAATTAGGGAACAAGGTCACATGATTTTAGTAGGAAGAAAATTGGCATGTAGACCAAATGTTCCACTCACTGCCTGCAGGCATCTGGATTACTTACTGCATACTTTTGAAGTTCTGAAATAACGGATAGTGAAGATACGAGAACCATTTAGCCTGCAGAGAAAGAAAAGCAATATCAGTGTATAAGTAGTACAGATTTGTATCTGCTGTTTTGGCATGACTGTCAATCAGTAGCCTCACCAACATGTTTAACTTGCTCACTGATTCATATACCTGGAGGCATAGATCCTAAAGCATTTCAGGAAGGGATAGCTTGTGATTAAATTCATCTCTGCGTCTGTGTACACATGTATGCAGGTGCACACAAACACACATACATATATATGAACTGTTTAGCATAAGGTCATAGGAAGCCTTAATCACTGTAGCTGAAACTGGATACTATCAACATATCAACGACATCCAAATCTTTTTCTCTACAGTATTTTCCAATAATGATGTGGCTCCCTTGAATATCAGCTCACATTTGATAATTGGCTGGATGAGGGAAAACAGTATGAAATCAAATCCTGGCAAGATGGAGCTGCTCACTGTAACTCCAGAGATCCAGCCTTTTCCCAAATGGGCAGATGAAATGCAGGTATGCTATGATTTATCAGATTACACATTAGACCATAAATAATAGCATTTAGGGATTCTGTATTTAGATTGCAGACTGAATGTAGAATTCCACATTCAGAAATCTCAAAAGTATTTTTTTTTTAAAATTTGGAAACAGGAAGGTAGATAGGGACTCAATATTGGAACGAGCTCCCCGTGGAGATTCGTACCCTCACCACCGTCCAAGCCTTCCGCACAGCCCTGAAGAACTGGCTAGCCCGTCAGGCCTGGGGACAAGGATA